GTGGTCAATACAGAGTAGAACGAATATAAATATTTATTTATAAATAACATATTTATGTTATAATTTTTAAATATATATATATATTTCTCGTTCTACCACGGCGAGAAATGGTCCATCTTGCCAAATAAAGTATTTGATAAAATTTAAATAAGAATTTTTAAATATTCGACAAAATATTTTCAAGAGTAGTATCTATGGCCATTCCGTACCATAATGCAAGTTGTTGCACCCACATGAACCCAGTACGTAAAGAGACACAGACCTGATTGCATCGTGATACTGAAAATAAATTATGCAAAAGTTGAGCCATCTGACACACTCCCAGATAAATATGATCCTAGATTAAGACACTCATACATCTTTTTTGTAGATCAAAAATAGATTGCATAAAGTCCGGGGCCTTCTAATTGTTTTTTCAATGCAGTTTCAAAAGGAGAAGGGTGATTTTGTAGAAGAGGAAGAAAACTATTGAAATGTTACAAAGAATGAATCAACGTGAGATTGCTATGAAGCTTGGAATACGAAGTCATGCTTTCCAAGTCGCTCAAAAAGATACATACCGGATTTTAGGAGTCTTTTGTAAATAAAATAAAGACTGGTAGATCTTGTAAATAAAATAAAGACTGGTAGATCTTGTAAATAAAATAAAGACTGGTAGATCTTGTAAATAAAATAAAGACTGGTAGATCTTGTAAATAAAATAAAGACTGGTAGATCTTGTAAATAAAATAAAGACTGGTAGATCTTCGAAATTAGACGTAAAATATCCAAGAAATGTGTATGTGTGCGCGCGTGTCTGTGTGAATTACAATCAATAAAAACCAACAAATTACAAATTCATTTTGAATCCCATTAATTTTAATTCAATTCTATGTTCTATAATAAAAATTATATTAAACTCTCTTTTGTGGATCAGTTTTAATGTTTTTATTGATAGGATCTACTAGGATCACTTACCCACGGATTTATTTACTTGTACTATATATATATATATATATATATATATATTTTCAAACCTAGAACCCGAAAACGTACCAAGGTTTCAGCTAAGCGGATTGTTTAAATTTTGACGATCCGCTTTTGAATTTAAAAATTTGTTGGCTCACTAAGTTTTATAGGTCTGCTCTACTTTTTTTATTGATATTTTTTTTTATTTAATTGATGACTCGTATCGGGACTTTGTTCGTTGGTCTATGGACCTGTATGCGGTACGATTATTTTCGACAGACGTTCATGTTCCTAGGTAAATTTTTTTTTTTAAAATATTTTTTTCCTTCGAAATTGATTTGATCATTATCAATCAAGAAACCGAAGGTTTTTCGATTTAATGGTAGTTATATATATATATATATATATATATATATATATATATATATATATATATATATATATATCATTTGTTTGAAAGTTAAAACTAGTGTTAAAATCACTACAAAAATAGCCATGTTGTTTCAACACTTCAGATGTCTTATCAAGTGATGGTGTTGAATGTAAAATAAAGGGTTTTAAAAGCTTCAAATCGACCGAACACTCCGTGCTAGGGGAAATGCTATCACATAAGCTACAATCACAAATCAAAATACAAGTATATGAGAATTCAAAAAACTTGACAACGAAACTTGGTTATAATAATTAATGCCTTAACATTAGGTTTGCACTAAAATATAAATCTTTCTAAATAATTAATATTAAATTTTACTACAAAATCGAAAATTAAAAATTACCAATTTTAAATTTAATCTGTATTGAAACAAAATGGCTATTTTTGTAGAGATTTCGTAACATTTTTATGTTATAATTTTCGAATAAATGATTATATTTTCTCTACTCTGTATTGAGTACTCTTTTAAGAATCGTATTTGTTAGTTATTGAAATTTATTCCATATACACTAATCCTATAAATATATATATATATATATATATATATATATATATATATATATATATAAATATATATATATATATATGCAATTTCTAAAAGAGCTAATGGAATTTGTTTTATTTTTCAGCCTACAGTTTTTTATGACAATCAACTTCATTTTTAGTGGATACCAATATTTGAGTAGACGCCTAGTTTATTTTAAACGGTATATTTATTTTCGTCTACCGGCCTGAATATTCAAGAAATCTTATTAAAGATAAAAAATGAAGCCTCTGGCAGGCTTCGAAACTGGGGCCACTTTGGCAGTCGCCTCTGAGTGTTGACTTCAATGTTAAGTTTTATATTAACATACGCTCAATCTATGATATTGAGTACTTTATCCCATAAATATAGCACACATTAAAACTATATATATATATATATATATATATATATATATATATATATATATATTATATATGCCTATACGTTATTTTTATAGATACAGCTTAAGTAAATGATTTCTTTTTTAAATATACAGCATTAATATGTACCGGCTTGAATGTTCGAGAAAGTTCGCAGGAAATAGGCGTTCTCGAAAGGAATCGAACCTGTATTCCTATACGAAATCCGCCAATTGGCCTGACGTCCTATACCATTCAACTACAGAGAAGTATATGTCTCTGTCTCTGTCAATCTGTCTCTCTCTCTCTCTCTCTCTCTCTCTATATATATATATATATATATATATATGTATATATATATATATATATACATGATAAAGTAAAGAGCAAACAGGAAACGTTTATCAACTAATCATGTTAAACTTTCAATAAAACTGGAATATTTTCGATTGAAAAACATTTTGTAAATGTTCTTTATCTTATGATTCAGTCGGATTCCGTTCCATATTTGATCTATATCATATATATATATATATATAGCAGCTAAAAATTCCGTAGGTGAGTAATCCAATTTGATCTATTAATATAAAATATTAAAACTGACCCTCAAAAGAGAGCTCAATATAAATTTTATTATAGACCATATGAGTGAATTACAATTAATGAAATTGAAACAATTTACCTCATACAGATGATCATTTCGTCCATGGGAAAGTAGTTTTTCTCTGGACTTCTCACTGCAAATATATATACTAAAATGAATAAACCGTTTCTCAGGAAATTTGAAAGGCAAATGAAGGGACGAATGAAAAAAGAAAAAGGAAAGAATAAAAGGAGTGTGAGTAAGAATTGGCCTGTAATAGAGGAGGAAGTTATATAAGTGGTTGTGGTGGAGTCGAATACAGATAAATGCGACGGTTGAAAATAGACACTGACATAAATGTAATTTATCAACAGATGTACAAGGAAGAAGAATGAACAAAAAATGGCTATGAAATATTTTAGAGAGGAACTTAAAATTATCATAGAATGGTAGTAAGAACTTCAAATTAATACTTTTATTAAAAGGTGTTAATATTAATCTATTCATTTCTACATAATCATACTTATTATAAAATCCGTGTTATTTTTTTTGTGTGTGTGTGTGTGTGCGTGTGTGTGTGTGTGTGTGTGTGTATAAACGTGTGTGTGTGTGTGTGTATGTCTGTTTCGTTTATATATTGGGTCGGATTTCCTACATTTTTCAACCGATTTCAACAAAACTTTACAGGACTACGTAAAATTACCTTGTGGTGGTTCTGACAGCGCCAAAAATTGGGAAAACACAATTGTTTCTGCACAAAATCAATTTGAAAACACGAATAAGAGGCATAGCTGTCGAGAATGGAAGGGGGGAAACTCATATCAAGTTATAAAACCCAGGTTGGTTGTGTGTGTGTGTGTGTGTGTGTGTGTGTGTGTGTGTGTGTCATCGTTTATATATGGGATCGGATTTCCTACATTTTTCAACCGATTTCAAAAAAATTTCACTTCTTTTGGCAGGTAGTGTTTCTTATTGTCTTGGACACTTTTTTCTTTATTTTCACATTCAGAATGCTTTAAAAATTCTATTTACAAGACAATTGTTTATAATAAATTTCTATTCAATCGTTAGACTCATAACGATTGAAAACAATGTTTTTGTTTGAGTTTGGGTTTGAACAATTCGTAAAAAAAAAAAAACAAAAAAAAAATTAAGACATGCGTGTCCGTCAACTTTAAACAATAATCTTTGTCAATTTTATTTTTCAGTCTTTATGATGGTCGATACTTGATCTATCTCTTACTGTTACATCCCCGGGCAACGCCGGGCTCTACTGCTAGTTAACTATATAGTAAAATTTACAGTAAAATAATTTAAATAAATTATTAATATATTAATTTCATTTACATATAACCAATCTGATTATATCAATAAAATATTAATTAATTTTCAAATAAGGAGTTTATAATTTAAATTATATCATATTTATACTAATTATTTAAAAATCAAATCACGCGAATGGTCTCGTCAAACTGGCTTCGATTCACAACCATCTCGGTATTTACTCGAAGCCTCCCCACTGGGCGGGATGCAGCACAAGGTCAGTTTTTAATGTGGGGCATTCCGAGCGCGTAAACTCGGGCAAAATTTCCTCGTAGGCCCGGCATACACGGGGTCGGGCGGTTGTCTAATTTTCCCCAGACGAGACTCTTCCCGGAAGCATAGCCTCGTCTGAGTTCCTCTCCGCTTGAAGGCACAGAGTTCGACAAGCTCTGAGAGCACTTCACTGACATCTCTCCCACCGCCTAGCAGTGGAGAGAACGAGAATGTCGTTTCCGATGTTCAGATGCGAGCGTGTGCCGACATTTATAAAACAAACAATTAGTTTAATTCAATTAATTTAATTTTTACTTGTTTACTTATTTATAATTCGGTTTACGATCAACGAAGTTAAACAACGTCGAGACTGGTCACTACCTACATGGGTGACCGCTTGTGAATACTGTAAGCTTCATTGTGCTTGTGGTACAGTGGACAATAGCTAGGAATTGTTAATCGGAGAGCCGAGTTCCGATACGGTCACCGATGTTAAGCAACATCAACCCATTTCAGTATCTAGAGGGGTGACCACTTGGGAAGTATCAGGTGCAGTAAGCTTGTTTGTGCATATTGGGTAGTGGATAACGGGTTGGAATTGTTAATTGGAGAGCCGAGTTCCGATAAGATCACCAAAGTTAAGCAACATCCAACCAGGTCAGTACTTAGATGGGTGATCGCTTGGGAATACCAGGTGCTGTAAGCTTGGATGTTCTGCTGGTGTAATGGATAACAGATCGGAATTGTTAAGAGAGAGCCAACTTCCGATACCATCACTGAAGTTAAGCAACATTCAACCAGGCTATTACTTAGATGGGTGATCGCTTGGGAATACCAGGTGCTGTAAGCTTAGATGTGCTGGTTGTGTAATGGATAACGGCTCGGAATTGGTAATCTGAGAGCCGAGTTCCAATACGATCACCGAAGTTAAGCAACATCCAACCAGGTCAGTATCCAGATGGGTGACCGTTTAGGAATACCAAGTGACGTAAACTTGGATGGGCAAGATAAGGGCTCAGAATTGGAGATCTAAGTGCTGAATTTCAATTCCAGTCGGGTTTTTTATATTCATTTACGCGTAAAATACCCTAGGGAATGGTTTGAATTCACATCTCCTCATTTGCCAGCTCTAGGTTAGTAAGTAGGACTTATAAGAACTTACCAGTAGATACTTATCTCTAAAAAAAATCTTACAATGTAAAACTATTTTATGGCTTTAAATAAACTGCAAAAATAAATACTTTCATGGTAATTGTCCGGATGAGCTTTTCTATATGCAACTTAGGCTTTATGAATTTAAGCACAGTACTAGATTGTCGGTTAGGTCTCATCAATTTGCAGTTGAAATGGCTAGATGCAATCGTATGTTCTTTGCTGTCAGTTTCTTTTCTTGCACTTCTCACTGCTTGAACTCTCTTCAAATTCCATGCTTTGCGGCCGATTTTCATTTTCAAATATGTAAATGTAATGACAATCGTGATCTACTGTATTCCTGATTACTCTTTTATTGTTGTGGCTTCTCATTAAGGTTTCTGTTTTCTCATTCTTTCACATCCAGTAACCTCTTGTGTCTTAGCGGCTTTACTGCCTTGCTTGGGGTCAATTCGATTAAAAAAAGAAAAAAAAAAGGCTGATAAGCCGTAAAACAAAAATCAATCAGTCAAACAATTATTTATAATTCCTTTTGTTGACAACCATACATTCTTGTAAAATCCGCTGCAATTCTGCGCGGAATATGCTTCTAAAATCCCGATATGCAATCGGACATGAAACAAATGTATGGAAGCTAATATTCTTTTTTTTTAACGAAGATGAAAGAGGCACACGTTCGGATTAGCCTACAGTTGGACGAGTTGAATTCTGTAACGTGGACCCCCGTCGGGATGTTCGTGGGCACCGTCGTCTAGATAGTGTCGGGAATAGGGTTAGTACTCGCTCCCAGGCACCCCCGATCCCTTACCAACCGGCGTTATTAGCTCTGAATAGCAAGCTATCGAACGATAAAGAAGAAGAAGAAGAAGAAGAAGAAGAAGAAGAAGAAGAAGAGGCGTGTATTTGCGGACTCATTGCCTGTAAAAGCACAGCATGTTTTAATGCGTCCTTCAAGATTTAACACCCGCTTCTCTTCTTCCTCCCAATATGACGATGTTGGTTGCCGATTTATTGCCATAGGTTTGAGACGAGATTAGATTTTGTGGAAAGAGCGTTTATTTAAAAGAAACATGGTCGCCGTTCCAAGATTTTAACAGAAGCGAATGAAACAAAGGCTTCGTTTACGGGCTAGGTGATTCGGCACTTTGAGTTTAACACTTGGCTCCCACACGATCCACCGGAGGGTCGTGGTGGGCCGTTTTGCAGTTTCTTTTCTATAAGGATTATTGGAAATGGAAAGCTATGATTGATTTTTTTTAAGCATTTCACCCCAAGAAAGGCGGTAGTGCCACTAGCACGCAAAGGGTTACAGAGAGTGAGAGCAAGTGGAAAGAGGGGTGTTTTAGGAAAGGGTATAGAGAAGAACGGGGATGAGGATGAAGGCATCAAAATATATCGATTGACATTACACTTGAACATTGAAGATTATAGCTATTAGTGAAGCAAATATATATATATATATATATATATATATATATATATATATATATATATATATATCGAAATAAAAGTATAAAATTTAATATTACCAGACATGTTAAAAAATATAAAAAAAACAAAAACACAACAAGGGGGAAGCAACCGGTTTCGATCCCGCTCTTCAGGTTTCAACGGGAGATTCAAAATTAATGCAGAAAAAATGTACAATACAGGAATTGGAGAAAAAAAATTTACATGTCCATAAAGTTCATGTGCACTTTAAAAAATGTATAACTTTATTTGTATTTGCGATAGAAATAATTTGTAAAAAGGATTAGAAAGAAGTAAATCTATATTTTTTTAAGGTTTTATTGAAATTTTATTTAAGTTTATAGATGCAACACTTTCGTCGCTGATACATGGGCTTCCAGACCGTGGCTTGTCATGGACGGAGTCTGTCTCTTTAAATTTTTTTCATCAATTTAGCAATAGTGTTCCTATGAGGTGGTTATTTATTGTATTCAATTTAAAACTTTCTTTGTACAGCAATAGTAGATTTCAGTTCAGATTTCAGTTCAGCCAAACAAAGGACAGTTTACTTTTTCCTCAGTTGAAGCCATGGATCAAATTGAATCTGGAAATATATATATATATTCATTTTGGCGTTATATCACGTGCGTCACTCTGCTGGATAAGCAGACCGTAACTCCAAACGCGAGTATATGTGAGGCCTTTCAGAATTACTTTCAGGAACTTTTCACCAGGGATCCCGGTCTGAACCCTGCTCAATTCGACGCCTATTTAGCCGACTTTCCCTGCCATGAAGCAGCTGAAGCGGCTGGGTGCGAGGGTCCCATAACTGAGTCGGAAATCTGGGAAGCGCTGAAGCAGGTTGGCCTGGATAAATCTCCGGGGTTAGATGGTCTTCCCTACGAACTTTACCTGAGGCAGTCGTCCGTTTTTTTTTTCCTTTGCTGGAACTGATTTACAACAACTATATGAAGCAGGAGTATATACCTCAAGGCTTCACCAGGGATGTGATCAAGTTGCTACGCAAGGACAAGAACTCTGGGGGCGGGTTAGGTAGCTTTCGCTCTTTAACCATGTTAAATACAGGGTTAAAGATTTTGGCAAATATCTTAGCCAACCGTTTGCAGCTTGTCTTCTCTAGTCTGATTGGCTCTGAACAGACGTGCCGTGGAAGGTAGGACTATACAGGACAACCTTCATATGGTCCGCTTAATGATAGAGAAAGTCAACAGTGAAGCAGCGCTTATTAATTTAGATCAGTCCAAGGCCTTCGATAGGGTTGACCATCGATACCTGGAGGCTCTCCTTTCGGTGACCGGCTTCGAACCGGACTTTTACACCTAAATCCGACTTCTATATGCGACTCCCGGTGCTCTGGCAGAAGTGAATAGGATAAAATCGGAACCTTTCTTACTGTTTCGTTTCATTTGTCAAGGTTGTCCCCTTTCGCCTATGCTTTACGTTCTTGCGCTAGAACCTTCCCTTCGCAAGTTAAAGGCGAATCCGGTCCTACGCGGAATTTCCCTAGCTGGCGCTACCATCTTGGCCAGGTAGGCTGATGAGGTTGCTGTTCTTGTGTCGAGCATAGCTGAGATTGATGAAGTCAGCAAAGAAATCAGTGTTTATAAGATGGTTACAGGGACCAAGATTAACCGCGATAAGTCTGTTGGCTTGAGTGCGTGGAAGGAAGTTTCTCTTCCCGGACTTTTCCAGTGGACGGATGGGCAGGTCAAGATACTCGGCATCTGGCTCGGTCCTGATATCCAGTTGGAAATCAAGTGGTCAGAGATACAAGGGAAGTTCGAGATCACAGTTAATCTGTGGTCTCGGAAGAATCTGTCCTCGAAGGGGAAGCCGGAAATATGTTTCACACATCTACCCGATTCTCCTTTACCGACTATCTGTACTTCCACTTCCGTATGCCACACTAATGCCATTAGTAAGGCTCTTATTCTCCTCCTTGTGGGGAGGCAAGGCTACTAGGGTATCTCGGGAGATCTGTTGCCTTAATCCATCTGAAGGGGGTCTGGATATGCCAGGCACTGAGACCGAATGTGTCGCGATTAGGATGAAGAAAGCGCCTTTTGGAAGGAAGACGCCTGTAAGAACTTCACATCCCTGAGAAGTGTCCACACGTGTGAGGAGGAGACCCACCGTTTACCTCGAGCCGTCTTGCTCTGAACCAACTCTCATGGGCTTTGGATGACCTCTCCAACGTCCAGGCGTTGTCTCGTAGGGCATTATATCAGGTGTTAGTCAGGGGGTCCGTTCGAGATGAGCTGATTGACGAGATCGGCCTTATGAAGCAGATGGCTCACTCAATATAGCCTAGGGCGCCCGGGTTGAAGTGTCTCAATAACGATTAGGTATCTCTCACCTGGCTAGTGATTCTTGGGGCACTCTGGGTCGTCAGTGGGCTTGGAGAATTCTCCAAACTTCTGACGCTTTCATTGCATGGTGGTTGCACAAGTTTGTTGAAGACCCCATGGCCTGCATGCTGCAAGGAAATTTCTTTGTCCTTGAGGCCAGTTCTGTTTGTAGCAATGCGGTTCCGCAGCTGGCGAAGGCTGAACAAGTGTGTTCTTTTGATTGCTAGGTGTTATATAAAAGTCTTGATTTGGACGACACGTCAGAAGGGATTCTATGGAGGCGAGTTGTTCACTTCTTCCCAACGGATCTGAGAGTATTTTGAATTATGCCAACAGAGTGTATTTGGAAATATGCCACTTTGTGTCTTCCATATATTTTGACGGACCTTTTAACCAACTCATGAATATTCATGAACTTTCTCAAATTTAAAAGCCTTGATAAACCAATTGCATCCTTGCTTTAGTATATAAACGCGTACAAGAAAATAAATCCTACATTTGTCTTGATAAAAAGTCCTACAGAGGATGAAACACGTCCCTGAGAATAATTTTCCTCATGTCTTTTATTCACACACACACACACACACACACACACACACACACACACACACACACACACACACACACAGATATATATATATATATATATATATATATATATATATATATATATATATATATATATATATATATTCATATATATATATATATATATATAAGTTGAGATAAGATAT